ATATCAGCCGTTAATTGTCCACTGTTGAACATAGGCCTCCCTATATTGGAAGATTTTACCAGTAGTTGCCATACTTCGCAGGCGGGTTGACAACAGCAAATAAACCTCAGAGATGTTTTAAGTGGGACACTGCTGCCATTAAGTTCCTTTTGTTGCCTCTTACGACACCCACAGAAAGAAAGAAGTGACCTATTCTATGCCGGGATTACACAGCTACCCATAATATTTTAATATTAAAAAAAAAATAGAAAATTTTCATACAACGTAATATGTAGCAAATAGTAATATAAAAAATCTAAAAAACTTATAAATAAGGCTAACAAATGATACAGCATATACAGCTAGAACTTACATTGTAATGTAATGCAACTCATATGAAATGCAATGGCACGTATTTCATATAAGCTGGTCATGGTCATAAATTCTTATCTACTTGATAACTTATAAAAATGCTGTAATAACTACATAATTTTATATAAATACAATTAATTTATAATAATCCAGTTCTTGTAATTATAACTACATGTAGTACTTAGACAAGTGTAGGTTTATTTATGAGCTTAGTTATTTCTTATTCACTTTGTAGTTTAATTAATAGGAAAATGGCATTAAATGTGTTTATCTCCATATTTAGAGAAGAATGAAGAATATTATCACATTCTTTGAAACATGTACAATACCTGCTATACGATATAAATGTTTTCTATGTTTATTAAAGTGCTTTATATATATCAACTAAAAGGTAGAGCTGGTAAAAGCCAAAGCGCCAAAGTAGCTGATTCGAATATTCTGTAAAAGTCAGCAAGAGATGGATATAGGAAACGAAAAGTTGAATAAATGAACAAAAAATACAAGTGAATTAAGTACATCCTCTTTTTTTAAATAGCTTAAAAAAAGAAGTTATTTATTGTCGTGACGTGATTCGTGAATCAAATTGCACGATTTCGTGATCGATTATTATGAAAGGTTCAAAATTTTCTTCATATTTTGTTATATATTCTTTTAAAGAAATTTGTTCCGTTCTGTAAATAGATACTAAATACATGGATATAGATTTCGGATTTTTGTAATACAAATGATAAACTTTGTAATAGATGTAGACTTCTGATATTATACGTACCTATTTGTATTATTTTGTATTACATTGTATTTGTATACATTTTACCTTCCAACGTTTAGAGATTCAATCCCCGTACAATATATACGTACATTTTTTATAAATAACCTTGTTTGTTTTTTTAGTCTAGGTCTAGACATATTATGTACGTAAGAATTCAACAAATACGTGAATTCTTATCTCTTACATATTATTATTATTTTGTCATAAAAGAAAGGCATTTGTTTCTTCTTGTCTATATTTGTGGTTTCTTCCGTTATTACCAATTATCAACATTTGGATGGTACCTAAACTCAAAATTATTATTTTCTAGTACAAACTACTATTATTGTCATATTTAAAGATCAACCATAGGACAGTAACGTTACTATACTTGCAAATGTAAGTTTGCTTCGCTCCTTTATGCATCAGCTACAGTACCTATTTTTGTTGATCCCTAAAAATACTCGTTAGTTCTGTTTAGTTTAACGTTTAGTTTAAATGGTATTCTACTCACGCTCTTCACCACACCACCATTGAGTGGCAAGTCCCACGTGCCATCCACAGCGTACTCATCGTTTCGCCACCGACTGGCAGGGTCCAATTGAGACGACATTGTGTTGCAACTTGCGTGAGAGCATGCCGCACTAAATGGACCGACAATAATGTAGCTTAAAATGTACAATTGTTGTTTGCTATTAGTAGGTACTCATTCGCGATTAATCTGCAATGTTATTATGTATACTGATAATTTTTTATTCACATTCTTTTAGACTTCGTATAACATATTTATTAAAATAATTAGTATTTAGCTTTTGTTTATATAGCAGAATTTTAAGCCTACTTACTTGGTATGTATAGTTGATCCAATAGTTTGTATATGACAACTAAAACCAAATACATATGTTTACAAAAACTTATTAATTTGTTATTGTTTCGTATTACTTTAACAAAACTCTATAAAGACGTCTGCATGATTATTGCTTTCAGATATAGAACTTGTTTACCTACAGTTGTTATATTTGAAAGGAATATTTATGGCAGTAAAATATTACATGTGTAGTGTGTCTCAGGATTTTTATGTTACAAGAATCAAGAACAGCGACTGAAGTCTTAATAAGCTTTCGTCACTCATAACCAACAGGCAGACTGTAAGCTTGATTAAAAGCCAAATTAAGTATAAATGTATCAAAAATATTTACATCTATCTGATCTGATATCACATGTTAAGAACTAGATTCATTATCTACTATATTAGAATACAAGCCTTTGACTAGAAATGTAGAACATCTCTAATAAACATATACCGAATAATTTATAATGTATATTTAATTTGTATTATTCTTTAATTTGTGCAAAAAAGTAATTGTTACACATTGTAAATATTGTGATTAGCTTATCTTTGCACGAATATCAGCGGAGACTGTTACCCGTTTAATATTTTAGTGATACTATTTAGATATCCTTCTTACATACTAAATAAGACATTGAGAATTTTAAAAGCCTTTTTATTCAATACAAACTTGCAAAGTTAAGCCATAACTATAATCAAGGTGTATTTAATGTCTGTAACACAAAACAAATTCTTATGTAAACTCTATTTTAAAAATTCCTTCTAAAAATAATTTTCAAGACGATTATTGTCTTAAAAATTATTTTTCCTAGTCTCATTTTATAATTTAAAATTCATGTCACATTTTAAATACACATCATGAAGTAAATTGCCTATGTCTTTTCAATTAAGCTAAAACAAGTCGAATGTAATTCAAGCCGATTATACGAGTACACTGTTAAATAATACATGTTTCTGCCTCACAGGTACAGTGAAAGTAATTGTAGTCACATGATCTCGAGATCACACTTTCTTAGCACCACTTACTTATTTGAGTATTGCGACTTTAAGTCTAGGGCTACACAGATTTCAAAATTGGCAGGGCTTAATTATTGCCAATCTCCACAAATTGTTCAAAATTATTAAAAATAACCACTTACCTACACAAAGTTCAAGAGCGGACAAAGCCAATATTTTATTGAGATTTTAGCTTTAAAAATCGGTTGCTTTTTGTCAACCAATATCAATCACTTTAAACCCAGTTCATGTTTTACAAAAAATTCCAAAAAAAAAATACAACATGTGTCGAAATCAACCTATCTATTTATATGATTATTGGCATTTTCATTGGACTTTAAAGAATTTTATTTTACGAATTTTGCCTTCGTACTAGTAATTTATTAATCATAATAGATTATCATTATTTTATAAAATTCGTAATTTTATCCCCTTCCTACACGACTGTTTAAATCCAGAAGCAAATTTTTTTAATAGGTAGGCACACTTAAAGAATAGCTATTAAAATTTTCATTTTAGACCAGTGATGCAATCAACACCGCTGGCATGCAACAGCTGTTTCTTGCTTGATATCATAACCGCCGAGATAGAATTTATTATTTTCTTGAATACAAATTTATTAGACTAGTACCAAAATTTATTTTTATTTGAAAATTGCTAATTCTTTTAATTAATCGGAATAGTTTGTTATATAGCTGATAATATATTATCTCAATTATATAGATACCAACCTATATACTTATACCTGTATAGGTATACAGGAAGGTATTTTCTATAGAATACAGTCTATGTAAATAGTTATAGGCACTAACAAGTGTTTGTACCTATAACTACTTACATAAGTACAAATAGATAAAGATCTTACCATAACATACGAGTAACACTCCATTATCAATACACTGTCCCATTCGTGTTTCAACCGTGAAGCAGTTGTGTTTGCATGGCTGTGTTTCGGTTTGAAGGGTGGGATATGGCGTGAATTTACTGGGTACAGAAGAATAACACCTGAGTCCTCAGGAATGGCAACGCATGGGGGGTATCATGGATGAAGCAGTATACTCTGTTATGTCCATGGTACTGCTCATGTCTATAGGCAACCGTTACCACTTTCCATCAGGTAGGCCGTCAGCTTGTTTGCCATTCTAAGTTGTATAAAAAAAAAACACTGCTGGACACGGACAATCACAAATGGCATTTCTCCTCATAACAGAAGGATAATTTTTTTAATGGAATGCTAATGGAATACTAACTGTCTACGCTATTGGTAGTGTCTACGCTATGATGATGTATCATATCAGCCTTTAACTGTACACTGCTGAACATAAGTCACTCCCTTGGGGGTTTGCCAGTAGTTGTCACGCTTAGCAGGCGGATTGGTAACCGCAGTAAGACTTTGGATATATTTTAAGAGAGATGCTGCTTCCCATTCGTCGCCCTCCCTTAGTCGCCTCTTATTATACCCACAGCAAAGGAAGGGGTGGCCTATTCTATGCCGGGAGCACACAGCAATATTGGTATACACACATAATTAATTCACCAAGATTAATGACGATGATTTATAAGGGAGACTTCGTAGAGATTGACCAATTTTGCTAACAATAATACTTACAAAGGAAGACATTGGCCAAGTATTTTTTTTTAATTAGAGATCTGTTTAGACATCCTATACTTGCTATTTAATATTGGAGGCGGAATACCTATTGTGTGTAGTTTAGGGGTAGAATACAAGGGGCATAGTTGGGCAAGTATTACCACACAAGCTAGGCGGCTTAACATAGTGTTACTTCTATTGCGCAGTCACTGGGATAATTTCCTTTGTTTTCTAGACAACTCTAACAATACACTGGGGATGAAAATTGTGATAACACATTGTGTTATTACTCTGTCACTAAATAAAGTATACTTATCTACCTACCCGCTTTTTGTTGTAAAATTACGTAAAATAAAACGTAAAAACAACAAATTTTATTTATTTCGTTGCCAATGGATTTTTAACAATGGAATATTGCTATACCTCACTAACTCGTCTAACAACCGTGCACTTTCAACTTTCAGAAATCGACAAGCAAAACACTCAAGAGTCTATGCAGTTTAGTACTGTATACTGTACACATATCAACACAAGTGCTGGCCGGAACGCAGTTCTCTTCGCACGTGACAGTGAACACCCCTACTCGCAGTTTTAGTCATGGAGTAGGTGACCCTTTGTCCATAAATGAAAAAAGAAACAACCAATACCAATCTAAGAAATCGTTCAGTAGAAACCTCCGCAGTGGCTGTAAGTACCTATTTCTTGTTTCATACTTTTAAACAGTCAAGGTGGACTGGTGAAGGCTTTTTATGGATGAAAATTGAAAAGTAACCTCGCCTATGTATGTACTGTTAGTTTACAATGGTAGGAGTGCCAATGAGGGATAGGTGAGAATAAAGTCAGGTCAGGTGGGCTATCCTGATAAATACATTAATCACAATTTCCTGGAGGTGGTCGAACTCTATGTTCGACCTTACACCTTGACTAACAATTCTCTTTTCCCCCAAATACATTTACGCCACGCCTAAATAAGTAGATAAAGCAAAAAAATTCTACGCTAGCTAAGTAGGTACTTAACCTATCGCAGAAATATTGTAAATTCAAAAATTATTTATTTAATCAGTTTATTAAATTCTTTTTTATATATATTCTAGGGCAATCATCGTTGCCACAAATGCAAGGAAGAGGTTATTCAAGAGAGCGGCCAACAATACCTTTCACTGAGGAAGAAGTACCACGGGCTACCATTAACCAAATACCATGGCAATACAATTCCTTTATGGGTAGGTATCAAATAATTTTACAAAAAATATAGGAGTGCATAATTCAAATAAAACTCTAGAAAATTTCATGGATAGATACATAAATATCTATATAAAAAAAGTTTATTTGGTTGAACGCGCTAATCTCTGAAACTATCAATCAGATTAAAAAAAAATATTTTGCATGTGATAGCTAATTTGTTATGATTATAGGCTATCAATATTACTGGCACGGGATAAAGTTAGCCTCTATACAAGTATGAATTTCTAATTTTTTTTATACAACTTAGAATGGCAAACAAGCTGACGGCCTACCTGATGGAAAGTGGTAACCGTCACCTATAAACATAAGCAGTACCATGGACATAACAGTACACACACATACTGTTTCGCCCATGATACCCCCCATGAGTTGCCATTCCTGAGGACTCAGATGTTATTCCTCTGCACCTTGTAAATTCACGTCATATCCCACCCTTCAAACCGAAACACAACTATGCAAACACAACTGCTTCACAGTTGAAACACGAATCGTACATAATACAGGTAGTTCGATACATAGCAAGATGAAAGATCTAATATCATCATATTAACTTCCGCATTTGATTGTAAGAACCTCTAACTACCTATAGATATAACCCGCAATATAGACACATTAAACTGTAATTACTTAGAAAGGAAGTCTTTAATCTAAAAATAATAGCAGTTTTTACCTATGTACTTACAGTGTAATCAATCGTCTAGTTTGTTACTAGCTATTATTTTCCAATAGAAGGTTAACAGGAGAGCCTGATAAATATGTTTCTTTACCTAATAGACATCCTCTATGACAGTAGATATCTATGGTAACAGTGATGATATCAACCGTTAACTGCCCACTACTAAACATAGGCCTTCCCCTTGAAGGGGGTTTGCCAGTAGTTGCCATGCTTAGCAATCGGGTAAGTAACCTCAGTTAGGCTTTGGTGATGTTTTAAGAGGAACGCTGTTGCCCATTCCTCGACCATTAAGTTCCCTTAGTCGCCTGTTACAACACTCACAGAAAAAGAAGGTGTGGCTTATTCTATGCCGGGACCACACGGCCGAAGTACCTATAATATTATACATACTACGTATCTGTGAACGCAAATTTATTTTCCTTTTATACTGTCGACTAATTGTCAAGATCACCATAACGACAACAGTCTGCAAATGTCATGTCAATGAACATGAACATATTTATTTAATTAAAAGAAGATAGTTACATAAATTAATTGAGTATTCATCATATTCAATCTACTGCTGTCCACTGCTGGGCATGGACGTCTCCCAAATCACGCCACTGAGCACGATCTTAGCTTTTCGTTTACAGTTTTTACCATCCTGCAAAACCACATCAGTTTGCAAATTCACTGAACTATGTCGGTAATTTTGGTCCTCTGGCGAATTACTTTATTTCGGATTCGATACCTTTGAGAAACTCCAGTCATAGCTCTTTCTACAGCTTGCTGAGTTACTGTCAATTAGTGGACTAGTTATATCGTAAGAGTCCACGTATCCATGCCGTATGTCATGGGCGGTAGGTAATACTGGCTATAGACTTTCATCTTTAAGCTTTGTAATGGAGATGACGAAAAAACCTGGCAAAGTTTCACCAAAAGCTGCCCAGCCCAGCCATATTTGTCTCTTGATTTCTCTCTAAAATTTGATTTTACCTAGTAGGACTTCATTTATGGCAATCGTTATTAAACTGATATATAAATAAATTAGGTAGTTATTAGGTAAAATAGGTAGTTTGTTTAATTTTGATTCTATAATACCTATGTAGGAATTTTTTTCATAAGCATGACCAATTATAAGAACCTCTACCTAAGATCTAATAGATATTACTCAATAAAAGAGTGACGTTATATTTTTAATGGATGACTATAGGCGTATTTAAAGGGGTGGGAGGGCGTGTCCACCCCAGGTTCTAGTATCCTAGGGTGGGCACGCCTCCCAGCCCTTTAAATAAGCCTTACAACAGTGTGTTTGCTAGGCCAGACCAGGCTCCCCGTGGAAAATAATCTTACATACGCCAAAGTGAATGACAAGGGGTATTAATTAATCCTTCATGTACTACCACTATTGGTATACACTAATCAGTATCACTCCGTCGCATCCTAAGAAATTCACAATTAATTTACTACGATGGTTTTCAAGAGGGAAGTTGTGAAAGTAGGCTTGATTGCTAGCAATAGGTATCCATGAGAACAATATATTAATAAAGCTGCTAGTTCCCTTTAGTAGAATGTTAAAACTACAAACTTATCGACACTCACATAAATTAATTGAAGACGACCTTGGTGGTGTAGCGATTTAAAACACTGCCTGACCTTCCGATGGTCACGGGTTCAATCCTCGCGCAATACAAACATTTGTATTCATGTCTGTTTGTATTAGTTTGGGTGTTTACTATGTATAAAATGTATATATTTATCTACAAAAAATATTTAAGTTTAGTTACTTTTTCTAAGTAGTAATCACAGTACAAGTTTTGCTTAGTAACGGATAAGGAAACGTTAAATAATATCTCCAATGCTATTTGTTTATTAATTTTACATAGGAAATTATTATCTACAAAAATTTTGTAAAACATGGCTCCGTAACCTTCGAGTGGCAACAGCGTATTTTTAAACACACAATTGTGACTTTAAGCGATGAAAAATCTTTTTACAGGTAAATATAAAATATTAAAGCAGGAAAATATAAAAGCAGGTATGTAGGTACTATTTAACTGATAAGTTTTTTCATCACGTTAAGTCCCTATTGTGTATTTAAAAATATGTGTAAACAACGCGAAAGTTTATAATTAACTATAACATATACACACATTATAACGAGTGCAGATGTATTATTTCATCTTGCAAAGGACAATGACAGATCCCGTTAGAGCAGCCGACCTTCATAGTCGGAGGATTCAAAGAAGATAGAATTTGTACAATGTACCTAAATTATACAGTCTACACATCGGTCAAGCAAGGTTTCGTGCGGTCATATGTACATTAGATGAATAACCACATGGTGGCAAGTAAATTAGAAGTGCTTGAATGAATATGGTCATTACTTTAGAAGACTTTTAATTTAAATATCAAATTATAACTAACCAATTTAGATTAAAATATTTTGAAATTACGCGTAGAATAAAATTAGGTAGGTAAGGTCCTTGCACGTTTCATTGATGGCACAGTATGCTCTATAAGAGAAGAAGAGATTGTAAGTAATGTAAGTAGTCGCTATTGCTAGCAATATACCCTATTAGATCGACCTTTGTACTGCTTTGAAAATCATCTACTGTATTGGAAATCATTTTGGATACTTATTATTTTTATAAATGGTGTAATAAGTATAATAATAAGTTCAAAATAAATAAAACAATTCTTAGTAAATTCAATGAGTCAACTGACCCGACTTTAAACTCATCACTTTGTTCTCTAATAATGCCCCGCCATTATGCCACATATGCAATACAGTTAAATCTTTATCAGACAGCTGCCACTTTCCATCAAGGACGACCGTCTATTTGCCCAGTAGTATAAAATAATATTTCTTCCACAGAGGTTTCTATACCAGTGCTGCCCCCATCGCCTTACAAAGTAGATTCACCTGACCCAGAATCTCTATGGCCTGAAGGTTTATACCTTCCACCCATTAGCCCTCCTCGTTTCGGAACAAACTTCGGGAGACGCACCGACACCGGTGAGGTAACGTCAGGTAAATTAATTATTAGGTTGGGACTTAAAAAAAAAACAGTATACATATAATAAAAATGGAAATCAACTTAATAAGTAAATTTTGAGACCTTTTGCAAATTTACTTAATACAGGTAGGCCCAACGAAGTCATCTACTTAGTCCTGTTAAACTACAAATAGATAAAGTTTTGAATGGTCCTTGCTTGAGTTACAATATTCTATTTATTAATTATATCTAACTCGATTTGGTAAATTACTATGGAAACCTAACACATACAAATTTTGGCTTTAGATATACTAATATTTGTAACATTTAACGAGTTGACTAAAAAATATTACCACGTAATGTTATTCACAGAACCGGAACCACTGGACCCGTACCTACTAGAGGGCACGGATGCAATCGCTGCAGTGGAGAAAGCATACCTTCACGGACACCTATACTTCCATGATATCCCCCACATCGAATCTTTACTCGCCAATCAACAGTTGAGGATCAACAATAAACTACAACCCCATCGGCTCGGTAGCATACGTCATACTTGGCCATTTAATCGACCGTAGCGCATAAAATAAAACAAATGTTACAAAAGTATAACATTATATTTGTATAAAGTTGTAAAAAATACTCATTACATTAAAATCTATTTAAAGTCATAATATTACGTTATTAAATTTCGATAATAAAAATTTCGCAACACATTTAAATCTTTTCATTAAACAAAATTACATTCAATATTATATTTGTAGAAAAATCTATGATGTATCGAATATCAAATTATAACGTAATATAGTCTTGTTCCACAAAAAGACATCGACTTTAATTATGACAAAATTAGGGATTTACTTCCATGTAATATCTCTTTCAATTACACGCTTTCATCAAACTTTAACAGATACACGCAACCAACTGCATTATTATGCAAGAGAAATAATCAATCGTAATAAAATTTAGTGTAACATATTAAGAATCTCTTCCTTTTTAGTAGCAAATCTCTTAAAAAATAAAACATTATTAATCTATAGAACAATAAAAAGGCAGTGACAATTACATCATGAAGATTCACATTATAGATAAACAATTACACCTATTATTCTATTGTCTATAATAGACAAGATATGCTGGGTATTCAAAATTTTATTTTCATAAGATATTTATTTAATAATTTATCTTGTATTTTACCCATACTGAAACCATCCCTTTTACTTGTTTACATAGCTAGTGATATATTATTTGTTAAATACTGTAGACAAACTTTAGAAAATAATCATAATAATATTACTAAGTTCAATAGAATATACATTTGAGCACCTTGATAAACAATTTTAAAATATTAATATATCTTGTTATCAATTTAAGATTTTAAATCAGACTTTTTTATTTTTTTATTTATACATTAATTAAATACATAAGAGACAGTCTATTAAGTATATACATGACAACATACAGGTACAGGTAACAGAGCTTATAGCAATATAATATTAGATAATGGAATTATACAATTTTAATTTAAACCAAGTGTATTGAACTTTAATAAAATATATAATTGCTAATATGTACCGTGTAGACCGGGCATAGAATGAATCACGCCTTTATTTTTCATGGTTGTCGTAAGAGGCGACAAAGGTCGAGGGATGAAGCAGGGCCCCTCTTAACACATCGCCAAAGTCTGTGGTTGCCAACTTACCTACAAGCATGGCAACAACTGGCACCTCTCCCCCCTTATAAGAAATGTCTATGTTCAAAACGTGACAGTTAACGACTGATATAATAACTACAATAGAATAGTTTATACAAACTGCATAAAGCAGACTCAACGATTATTAAAAAACATTTTCCCAGCAAACTTTTGAGAAATAAAAATAATGGAAGACTTCATAAAATACTTATTTATAAACAAAATAAGGTATAATATAAACCTATATTTTAGAAATATGAGTAAAGACAAAGAAACATAATACAAAAACTTTAAGAAAATGATGTCCAGAATTACATTCAATTTCATTCAAATATGTAGAAATATGTTATTTCGTCTTAGTTTGTTGTTCCTTTAGATATTGTATACATCGATAAATTATATATAGGTATTTAAAACGAAAATTTATTGAGAAAAAAACGAGATTACATTGAACTGTAAATAATTATAACTATTAAGAACAAATTTATTATCTCAATCAACTCAGTAATAATAACTAAAATCATTAAGATAAAAAAAGTCATTTTCTTATCAGAGTATTATTATTTGAGATTGTTTTCTCTAATAGGATCATAATATTAGAGCTACACATAAATTAAATATAAAAATTATAATACAATACAATATTTCTTAACTTTTACAATATATTTCATACACAAATAGTAGGTACAAAATGAAAAAAAAAAACATTATTTAGTGACATTATAAAGAGCTTTAAAAACATGGACGGAGTTACAAAATTAAATAGAATAAACAATCTATCTAATATAAATTCATATCACATTTCTATGATATTTTATGCATATTGCATTTTTGTCCTATAAGCAATTGTATAGTGTATAAAAAATTGTTACTAAATTAATATAACTAAGTACATTAACTTTAGATGCAGAATTGCAGAGATCACCATTGCAAAAGCACATATAAACTTTTTTGTGATTCCACATAGTATATGCACATCTTTCTTCATAATCACTTGGTGGTCTCTGAAGACACATTCGTTCGGTCGCTGCTCCATAATCTAAAATTACAATATATAAAATAAATATTTACACTGTACATATGAAACTTAAACTAGGTTACAAGATTGTAGTTCTAGTTTGAAGAAAAAAAGCTAAAATTACACATGTATCATATTATATCAGATAATTATCTGCATTTTGACATAATAAATAAATATTTCATATTTATGGCAATAAAAAAGGTGTGAGTTGAAGCATGGTGAATTGTATGATGTTACAATAACCCCACTTTAATGTGTCCATAGAATAGGGTTATTTAATTTTGATATTTTTTCATAAGTCACACTATTTTCGTAATGTAACAATTTTACGGTACTATTGTAGCATCAGGGGTACAAGAATTAGAAAAATTTTAACTACTTTTTATTATAACTATTAAATGGGCATATAAAAAGAGGGGATTATCATGACATCCAAAACATATCAAAAATTTTCTAAATCTTAATTCCTTTATAAAAAAAAATCAATGGTATACAAGGGAGACCATGTGGAGGTAGGCCAGACAGGGTATATTATTAACTTTGGGGCTGGTAGTCCACATTAACTCTCCCTGCATAATAATCCCTTTCCCCCAGATATGTTTACAGTGTTGTCCCATTTATAAAACCTAACAATATATATATATATATATATATAATTATTATATACCATCTGATCGCAGAGCACCGCTAACACCTTCAAGCATCTTGGCACACCACCCTGAGGGGCAGGCCATCACATGAATACCAAACTCAGCCTCTGGTTCTGTTACATTGAACGGGAAAGGGTCTCCGCAGGAACCCAATTCACCTCTTGATCTGCATTTTATACATCTCTTATTTAAACCTGGAATATAATATACAATTATTAAATAGTTATATATTTCAAAATACAATTTTTTTATTCTACTGGTATCTTCTATTATTGTCTGGAAAGGAAAAATATTATATAAGATTATACATATCTAACAATGTAATAACCAAAAATAAAAAATAAGCAAATCTTACTAGTTCCCATTAATCCCTTCCATCAATGTCCCACTACTTTTTTATGACATGAAAACGAAACTTATATCTGCCTGAACTATCGGCATATTATGGCAGGGTAACAGTTAGAGATGATAAATGAAAATGGAATTAGATTAATTTGCCCATCATAATAAATGCACCAGGTGATGATTTCTATAAATGCCCTGCTATTGGATAAAGGTTTCTACTAGTGATAAGAGAACTCAATTCTATAATTATCTTACTGAAACGACAGCTTTTGTTACAGATACCAGTTCAAAATAAAACAAAAATATAAGTTCATTCTCTTGTATTTGTTTATTATGCTTCATTTCCTTAATTACGTATCATGAGATCATAAGAGTACTGACATATTTAATTATATTATTATTATAATTATATTATTAATAAAAATTCATTGTTCATATAGTTAACTCTCACTTTACCTTGAAAGAAATCTCAATCAGAAATATTGATACTTACAATATGCTTCCTTCCATAAAAATAACGCGAAGAAAACGCTTACAATCAACATATAATTCATATTAGTATTTTTTCACCCGTAATTAAAGTATTAAAACAACAAATAAAAATATAACAATTAAATTTTCATATCCAAAAGTAATTTTATTTAGACTAGAATACTTAATACAACAGAGTAATACAGATTACAGAGAATATGTCTAACAAGCAAGTAGTTTCTACAACCACTTGTAACCACTACGTTCCAAGAACAAGGAATTAGGTTAACACATTCCTCGTTCGACAGACTACATTTTCATCTATTAAAAAAAAAAATACTTCTTTACCATAGATTAAAATTAGCTTGAAAATTGCTTTTAAAAGCAAACCAAAGAAAAAGTATCTATGTACCATCGTGTTAACAATGGCAAAAAGTTATATTAAGAACAATAATAGCGATCGGCATAGATTATCGTCATGCAAAATTTAATTAAAAAAAAAAAAACTAAATAAAAATATAGTTTTTTTTTAATTAAATTTTATTATATCCTAAGTTCTGTAAATAGTAACAGAGAATATGAACAACTGTGAGGTAGATATGTTCTGAAATATCTTAATTAATGTAGCTACAATATAATTATTATTTGAAATCTCATTTTTATTCTCCATCACAAACCAACTTTGTCTTTTAATGTTTTTTTTTTTTTTTTCATTTAATTTGAATACATTTTTACTCAAAGTATACGTACAAGTGAGTATCCGAACAACTATAATCTTTGGCGCTCTCCTCTTCAAATTGAATCAAATTTTCAACATCAACATGGCGGATAAATCAGAAAGTAAGTTTTGTTTATAAATAATAAAGCTTTTCTAAGAGCCTTTTTAATTATATTATTATTAAACTTGAATATTATAAATATGCTTACCTCCACAAAAATAAAACAGAAAACTTCTTGTCCTTCGCATATTGGAATATGAAGTGCTTTACTACATTCAAAATTTGAAAAAATTCAAATTTACGAAACAAATGTCATTTTATTATATCGAAATTTGAAATTTTATGTTTAGTGAAGGACCCAGAAAATACTTTGTACAACTCCTAATAACTAAATCAATATCGTTAGTACGATATAATTTGTTACTATTCCTATTACACTAACGATATTAATCTTGTAATTTAAATTCAATTGATAATAATTTTACTTATTTATTCTATAGGAGAACAAGATGGAGAAAATTTCTCTTCTCGATCACAATTTCGAGTTAAAAGTGAACCCATGGATTTGGATTTTCCCGAGGAAGAGCAAGAGCCACCAGCTTTTGGCCCTGCTGCATTGGGTCTGCACAGAGTTGGTACTAAATTGCCACCAAAACCTGCGCCTAGTGAACCAGTTCAAAAGCTTAATGCCAGAGGTATGCCAGCTAGAATTCGGAAGAAAAATAGGTTTATTTTTGTTGACGACTTTGTGAATACATCTCCTCCTAGACAGTCACCAAAAAGAATTCCAAAGATTTTATCAAGGTCACCAATTAAGCAATCCAGTGCAAAGAAACAGAAATCACCTACTAAAGTCCATAAACATAATGACAAATATGAAGAGAAAACAGAGAGTACTGGAAGTCAGTCACCAGATCGTAAATCAGGGCAGCGAATTGGCATGAGGCTTCGGAACCTATTGAAGCTGCCAAAAGCCCATAAATGGGTGTGTTTTGAGTATTTCTATAGCAATATTGATAAAGCACTCTTTGATGGAGAAAATGATTTTATGATATGTCTTAAAGAATCATTTCCGCAGTTAGCAAATCGCAAACTGACTCAAGTACAATGGGCTAAAATAAGGAGAATGATGGGTAAACCCCGTAGATGTTCTCAAGCTTTCTTTGCTGAAGAACGTAAGGAGTTAGATAGAAAAAGGAAACTTATACGGTATATACAGCAAAGGAAAACTGTTGATATATCTATAAAAGATTTACCTAATGAAATCCCTATGCAGTTAGTGGTGGGTACAAAGGTAACTGCAAGATTGCGAAAACCACAGGATGGTTTATTTACTGGTTGTATTGATGCTGTTGATACATCAAATAACACATACAGAATTTCTTTTGAACGACCTAAGTTGGGAACTCATTCTGTTCCTGACTATGAAGTTCTTTCTAATGAACCCCCCGATACAATTAGCCTTTCTAGTATTACACAAAAATTCAGACCTCAATATTTAATGCAAGAAATGTTCAATTTGTATCAACCTTGTTTGCCCACAAATAATAATACACAAAGTGATCCACTAATAGGATGTTCTGACATAGCAAAACAATTTGAAAACTCTATAGGTAATTATCCAGTCTCACTATTAGAGTTAATTGTAAAATTAACAAAAGTACTTCTGGCCAAGAAAAGTAAAATAAGCAGATTAAAAGAATACAACTGTGAAGCTGAGAAACGAAAATGTTTTGGACAAAAAATGCCTGAAGATTTTGAAAGGAAATATGCTGCAATTGTAATAGACCTTGAGAGAATGAACATGGACTTACAAGAGTATATTAATGAAGTGCAGCAATACTGCCAACAGATAGCTCCAGGACCTTGTTTAGCTGCAATGCTAGCACCTTCACATTTACGAGAAAAATGTCGAGAGGAGGCATTATTATTAGTAGAGAAGAATAACAAAGGTTCTATAAAAGATATTAGCTTAATTGATCTCATCACAGATCTTACAGCTTTAATGTTACAAGTCAGAAGTTTATCAGATTCTGATCAAAATGCTTATGAATTAAGTGTGTTGCAAGGAACCATGGATCAAATTAAAATAAAATTAAAACCTCAACACCAAAAATTATTCCAAAATAATGTAGAGGTCCATATGCACAGAATACAACTAGGATTAGGCCAAATGTCTTCAAATACATATGTTTCTGGTACATAAAGTCTATGCAATATAGTAATATTTAAAATTACTATCTCTTTTATTGTAAAATAAATGGTTAAGTGCTGCCAGCTCATATCTAAAACTTCTAAGTTAATTGTAAACTTGTACAAATTGTATAAATCATTATAGAGATAATATAATAGAGAGTGTGGTATAGATATAATATTTACACCTCTCATCACTTCTAAGGGGTCTGCACCTTTAGGAGTGGCAGTAGTAAAGCATGAGTGGTGCTACAGTGGTCACAACATAAATCTGTGATCTCTGGTATGTTCATGTCTATAGGAATGTTTAGTACTTTGTATTGGGTGGGCTGTCAGCTTCTTTGTCACTTCCATTATTGTAAAAAAAATGCTAATATAAATATTTTTTGTAATTTTTATTATAATTCATCTTCATTAGTATCTACATACATATTAAACTTGATGATCTTGTAACTAAATAAGTATTACAAACGGTGTTAAAATGTTTATTAATCATACCATTCTAACTTACAAATATTTTAAATTTAAATGAAATGTGTAAAAATATTAAAAAAGGAAGTGTACAACTGGCAAAAAAAGCTTGACGATAATACCTATGGATTAAAAATATATTTAATTTTTTAAGTGGAATGATATTTTATTTGTATAGAGATTAGAATTAAACATGTTATATACATAACTTTTATTTTTCTTATGAATCAACCAAAAATAATCCCTCTTAGCTATATAATCAAATGAAAATCTGTACATTAGAATAAATAAATTCATCTACTCCGATCAAGTTCCACATTGATTCGGTCATAAAAAATTGTGGTCCTTAAAATCGTTACATTTAGTTCCTTTAAAATTCTGTGACCTGCTAGTGACTAAGAATAATTACAAGTATTTTTTAATTTTGTCAACCTATTGCTATACTGACTAAATTGACATATATAAATATACTATGTATTTAGAAGTAAAATTATAGATGTCTTTATACAGCGCCATCTATTGCCAAATACTGTCCATTAGTAGATTACCCATCCATCCAAATCCAACGTTATATTATTTTTAAAACAGTTTGTGATAAACAAAAATTACGCAATATTAGCTATCAATTTTAACGCTTTTTTATTTTATATTAGCTAGATATTATTATTATATTATTTAGATAACCGCTTCAAGGTGTATTAAGAATCATAGACCAGATTTTAGACCTTCAGAAACAATTGTGAAAACTACATTTAATTTGATGCAGTTTTGCGTGTTTTTGGGACATATATACAAAAATAATAAAAATGAAAGTAATCATTTTTATAATTTTTATGACTTCTACTCCTTTTATCAAAATTCTCACGTAGTTTTCTCTTAAATATTTTTCATGTGCAGACATAGACTAATTACAATTTATTTCTATTTAGGTATTTACCTGTAGAGATCAAATGATTAAAAAAATACATTATATACTATACTTAGTAGTCAGTCCATAATTTCTCCTGATCTTTTTATTTAACCGATGGAACAGAATAGCCAACGAGATGCCTCCCTGGCGTCTTGTCGAATTAATCTACGATACCAGAGAAATTTAAATCGTGTAGTAAATGTGAAATGAATTCATTTGCAAATACATTAAAATACCAAATCCTAACACACGCATGAGAAAGAACGGGACACCTATCGTGATTCTGATTGAATTTGGTGCACGCGTCCTCTTTGTAGTTTTAGTAAGGGAGAGAAGAAATTGTAATGGGGACTAACAATCACATTGTTAACAATATACCCTATATTGGTACCATACCATATCATATTGGTACCAGGTCGATCACAAAAAACTTTCATAGAAAACAGTGTTGGTTAATTATTCTTCAATTAGACACGATGGGTTAACTAATCCGACTTCATCCTCACCTATCATCCCTCACAGGTACCCCGTCCAGGTATACTCATACCGCAGATGGGGCTATTATTCTATCATCCATTAAAAAAAAACTCACCCAGTACCTAATTTCCAGCATTGATATTCAAGTCAATGCTATTAGAAAAGACCAGTAACTATTAAGGTTGCGAAATAAGTATAATGTAAGTAGTTATTCTAAACTATAAATATAAGAGATCGTACTTATACAGTAACATATTTGATGATTTGAAGCTTAGTACTTACAATATATACTCTTGACTGTTGGCCATCCCGTCTAATGGCTGCGTGAGGATATCTTAAGTAATTAGTAGACATATAAGTACAAAAAGTATATTGATAACTAATCATAACATGATTAAAAATAATTTAACTACTTATTTTGTTTAATTAAGTTACCTATAAGTACACTGTAAAAAATCAACTTTAATTACCTAAATCTAGTATTCCGATGGAATGCATATTAGAGAAAAACAAAAAAAAATTGTACACATTTTTGGTCATATGGAAATAATTTGTATGTTTTTAGCAATAAGAAAATGAGCAAAATTATTGGTATGCCATCAAATAACAAATCACTTCTTTACTACAGAAAAAAAATTGCAACGAAATAGATATTTTTATTTACATTTTTATTCAAAAATCATTTTTGAATACAAGTATTACTTTTCATTATAAGTTCTACAATGTTACATTGTTAGTATTCAACCATTACTTTATGTTTTATATTTGTTCAATGTTTCTAATAGTTCATCAGCTTCTTCAGATGTTTTAACCCTTATTAATATGGGTACAGGTGGTGGTTTTGTGTCTGGTGTTGGAATACAAACCATCGTTACATTATTCTTACCCGTGCGCTGTATTGGTACAGCTGAAGACAAAATCAAGTTAAGCAACACATTGCCTAAATTTGTATTGGCTCGAACCAGTAATTGATGTTTGCCAGTTTCTTCAATTTTTTTGATATAAAGTGTACCCACACCTTTATCCACAAAATTGTCCTCCTTTTTCACAAATATTTTGCAGCGCTTATCATAAATACTATTTTCCTCTACAATGGGTTTAAATTCAACTTTGGGAGGTGAATCATCATCTTCATTCTCATTTTCATTAGTTGCTTTACTTGTTTCATTGCTTGTAGTTTGAATGTTTGAATTAAAAGTAAATGGTTTTCCAATACCAAATGAAAATGGTGCAGAGCCATTAGTATTTGCAGTGTTAGAGAAAAGGGATGAACTGACAGGAGTTGTATTATGTGATGTCATTCCAAATGTAAATGAAGGCTTGCTTGGGTTCTCATTATTCACAGGTTTAATGTCAGTCCCGAATGAAAATCCTGTTGATTTTGATGTCAGTGGAGAACTTTTGGTTCCTAATGATGTAACTTGTGAATCATCTGTTACTTTCTGGTCTGTGGCTGGAGGTTTATCTTCATTATTTTGATATTCATCTTGAATATCTTTCAAATATTTCTCATAATCCCTAAAAATAGGTGTCAATATACAAAGAGGAGTTTCATCAACATGTTTCGTAATCCATGCAGAAACAGACTCATTCAATCCTTTTAATTTTGAATAATAATTCAGTTTTTTATGATTTTTATTTTCTGCACTTATATTAGAATCTTTTGTATTAGCAGAACTAAAAAGTGATTCAGACTTAGCTTGAACAGTTGTGGTACTGGATACAGGTTTAGCTGTAAATAGTGTAGAATTAGATGTGGTTGTAAATAATGTGGATTTGCTAGTACTACTTGTAGGTATGCCAAATATTGTAGATGAAACTTGTGATACAGATGCTGCAGAGTTGGCATTAATTGTTTTAATACTTGCACCACTGGAGTCAGATGAACTTGAGGTTACTTGAATTTTAAATGGTGAATCACCTACAGTTGAATCTGCTTTTGAAGCAGTGAATACAGATGAAATAGTACTAGTTGTAGTACTATCAAATACTGGTGATGCCTGAGTGCTTGTTATACCAAACATAGGTTTTGTTGTAGATGTTGATGTCTGCATACCAAAAATACTATTTCCAGAATTGTTAGAAAGTGGTAAATTATTAAATATTGTTGATGTTACAGTAGTGTCACTTTTACTTGTCGGTGAAATAGATTTATTGGATCCATTTGTTAAATTCGCCAAGAAATCAAACGATGATGGTTGTGTTTTATTAAAACCTCCAAATCCACTGAATACACTTTGCTTTGGCTGGAATAGTAATATTAAAAGGATTAGCATGTTTTTGAGTATAATAACTTATAAAATTTCATAACAACTTTTTGTTAAAACTTAAATAACTAAAAACAGTTATCATATTATTTTAGTACTTAAGTAATATTTTACACTACACTAGGAGGAAAAAAATATAGAACTCAATGAGGAGCTTGCAAGTAATAAATAAAATGATGCTATAATTTAACTTTAATATCAAGAATATGTATATAAAAATCGTAAGAACTCACTTCGTCACTGGATATTTGAGAACGTCTTTTTGCAGTTCTTATTACACGCTTTTCAAGAACATCCTTTGAAGCTGTTTTAAAAGTGCCCATTTCTTCATGCTCATTTGGATCATCTTGATCCCAGTTATCATGGTTTAAGTCAGTTGTAGCTTGTCGTTTCACGGACATTATTCAGATTATTTTTTTTTAAAATACAAAAAGAAAGATTTAACCAGTTCGTTGTGGTACAACCTAAAACTAAAATGGATTAGTGATTACAAATAATTTAATGTAGTCACTACAGACACATCGATTTATCTAAAAAATTTAACATAGACAGAAATTAATCAAGAAATAAGTTTATTTCACATGAAATCAAGAGTAAATAACCAATAAACAGAGACAGCAATGATGTGATAATATACCTCACAGATGACTTGACATTGCCCTTGTATTGCCAACACTGCAACATAAATCTATGTAACCATCCATAAACAACATCCTTCATAATGTATTTTTTAGGAGTGTGAGTTAGATATAATTTTCATCTCCAGTATAAGCCTCTTATACATGACGCTGGTAGAAATGGTCGTAAAATTAGCGACCAATTGCCATTAACGAAAAGAAGAAGAAAAAGAGTATGATTTATGGATATACGACCTGCTTATCTGTGTCTTATAGATAACGATATCGTTGCTAAGCATCTTGTTTGTTGTAATATTTTATTCTACTTAATATACGTATTTTCATTTCCACTTTAATAGTATTTTCCGTATAATAACTAATATTTTCTATTGTTTATATATATGGTACTTAATCATTATTGGCGTATTTAAGAATATTTTGCCCTTATTTTGGGGCATGGCCCCTTAAAAAGGGTGCATATATACTTTTAACACCTTTAAAAGCTTTCTTTAAAGCTTCACTCACATCGTGGAGCGGGTACCAGATAATTCTGGGGTGGGCACGGCTTACCCTGTTCTCCTTCCTCTTTAAATACGCCTATGTAAATTATGTATAAGCAGCAGAACAGAATTGAATACAAATTACTACACGGGTATGTTATATCCTAACTTAACACAGAATAATCTATGTACTAATTAACGTACAACAGAACTGCTAAAAACAGCTAGTAATAAAATAAATAAAAACTCACTGTATTGTACAACTTATAATATTGATATCAATAAGTATTTTTAAAAAAATTGCTGCTTTATATTGTATAAATATCATATCATAATAAACAAATACATTGTTAAAAACTTTTTTTTATTCAAAGTGACGCTAACTTGAGAATGCCGAGTTATGTTTTTTTCCTAAGGTACATAAAGGATAATAAGTATATCTACAATATTCTACCTGCGGTACTGATTTTACATTAATGGCATAGCAAGTAAGCAATCACTACAAAACAATGTAAAATAAGAGTTGACTCGAAATATTGAACATGTGGTCTATCATGAAATTACTTGATGTTGTTAATTCCTGCATTGACAACGGAACTTTTCCAGATGTTTTTAAATGTGGTAAAATTATCCCTATATTTAAAAAAGGTGACGCTGAGGACCCCTCAATTATCGTCCAATATGTATTCTGCCAGTCTTATCTAAAATTATGGAGATAATATTAAAGAAAAGTATAGTAAGACACTTTGAGGAAAACAATCTTTTTACTGACAAACAATATGGCTTTAGAACAGGAAGGTCCACCACAATGGCAATTACAAAAACTATGGAATTTATATTGGAGTCTTTGGATAGGTCCATGAAATGTGTAAGCGTATTTTGTGATCTTACCAAAGCTTTTGATTGTTTAAGGCACGACATAATATTGAGCAAATTACAATACTATGGATTTGAACATAAATCACTAAAAATGATAGTCATACTTAAATAATAGGACACAAGTAGTAACATTAAATGATAATACTATATCATACATAAAATTAATTAGGCATTAATTTTTTCTTATTTACATTAATGATCTTCCGGCAAATTTACCAGAGGAAGCATTTGTGTTATTTGCTGATGATACACATGTTTAATAAATATAGAAATAAATTGAATAGAATGATGGATAACATCATAAATTTATTAGATGTTTGGTTTCAAGCCAATGGCATTATACTAAATGCAGCGAAAAATGTTTTTATGTCTTACAGTACCCGTAAGAATAAAAAATCACCTCCAAACAATGTTTATAGTCAGAGTACAACATTTTTAGGATATACGATAGATAGTACAGTTAGCCATGAATCGCATATTGAAAAATTATGTAGTAAACTAGCTTCCGCCAATTATGCCTTGAGTAAACTTAAGCAACTAATTTTCTGAGAATGGTGTACTTTGTATATGTTAATCATACGGTATTACAATTTGGGGCAATGCAGCTCTCGTGTTAAAAGTTTTAAGGCAACAAAAGCGAGCTATGAGGATTTTATGCGGAATTCATAAACACCTCAGTTAGACATCACTTTATCCAACAACGTATAATGACAGTGTCATCGTTGTTCATATATTCTTTACTTGAAATATATGATAAAAGGTACTCTTCGCAAAAATTCAGCCATTCATAGTTACGCCACGAGAAATAAAGACAAATTGGAATTTAAACGACTAACAAAAACTATGAAACAAGGCATATATCTAAAAATAAAAATGTACAATAAATTACCCAATACAGCAACGAGCGAAATGAATTTAAAAATAAAATAAAGACATATTTTGAAGAACATCCTTTTTACAAAAATCCTAAATGCCAATATTGAATTATAGCATTATTATTTATTTAGGTTTAACTGTAAGAAGTATTACAATAAAAATTTTATAACTTGAAATCATCATTATTGTTATATGGTTACCTTTATATTGACATGTTGATAATTTATAATGTTAACTATAATTCATTTGTAATTTTATTTTATAATTTAAATCTTATTGTTATTATTTATTTTATTAATTTCAAAATTATAATGTAAATATTGACTTGCCATTGTGTGACGAAAATTGTTACATTGGTTAATAAAGAAATATGAAATATGAAATATGAAACGAAAATCCGAATTTTCGGGCTCAATTTCGTGTTTTTGTTCGTACCAAAATTGACCCAGTAAATGAAATGTAATATTTCGATCATCATAAATCCTATTCTAATAGTCCAGAGGAATGATATTTTCATTTTTAATAATTTTAAACGGCATGTGTTATGTAATTTTAACATCAAATTTCTGTTTCGTTCGTGCCCAAAATTTCGGAAAAATATTTCATGGTAGGCCCTCAGTTTTTAGCTGTATATTAAAAATTGATAACGATACCTATCTACATCTACCAACATAATTATTACTTTTAATTTCAAATAAATTTTTTGTGAACTTTTAAAGATTACCTCTGTAGAGCAATTTGTGAATAAAATTACTGTTATAATAACCTTCTCCTACTATTTTTTTAAAGCCTTATTTCTTTGATAAAAGACATAATATCATAGACTGAAATTTTATTAATAAATAAAACAAAAAAAAAGTCGACGACTAGATCAATAATTTATATTAATCTAAGGAGACAAAACTGCTTAGAAAAACTTAATTTCGCCAAAACTTGTTAATCATTAATTTCGTCTTGCGGGAATATAATATATATATATTGCTATCTTAGTCTTATACACTCTGAGAATATTTATAATTATTTTTAAAGTAATTAAATGATTATTGTTAAATTAATTTTCTTGTTATAAATTTAAAGCGTGGTTATGTAATTAAATGATTAAATATAACTTTTATAAAGTGTTTTCTAGCTAACGCTTCCTTTTTTCAGTGCTCTTGAAAGAGTTGTTCCTTTGATTATGCATATCATCTATTACTTTCATTGTTTTTGAAAAGTAGTTTTGTGAGTTCGAAATTACTATAAAATTAATAAAATGTTTACAGTTTAACTGTAAAAAACAACAATGGAAGTGTCTAATGAAATAAAGGAAGATATTCGCAAAACGCAATCAGACTTGAAAAATGCAATACGAGTTCATCAGGTTTGTTTCATTGTTAATCAAAGTTTTTAGTTTTAAAGTATTTAATTTAATGATATAAGTAATTATATATATATATTTTTCACGTGTTTTTTTATCTCTTATATACAGGTCTTGGTCGCGCGTCTTCAGGAAGATGAAAATGTAAGTTACTTGATTATATTTTATAAATTGTAAATCATACAATATCACTAAAATTAATGCCATTTTCAGAACTCTCATATAAAGTTAAAAGTTAAAGAAGCGGAAAAAGAAATTATTGCAATTGGACAAACACAGGTAAATAAGTTTTATTTTTATTACACAACTACATAATACAAATAAAAATGTGTAAGGTCCATTAAGTAAAAACAACTCAGGGTTGTATTTGTTAATATTCAGTAATATTCTGTAGATACAGAACAGAATTTAAGAAGATAAAATTATCTTCTTAAATTCTGTTCTGAAATTATTAGAATTAGTATTTAAGTTACCTTGAAATAAAAGAAAGATGAACACAGATTGATACTTGAAATAATATACAATACAATCTATGTTTAGATATTTAAAAATTTCAAGTATAATTTCATATTTACCTGCATCTTTGTTTACATTACTGGGATGTACTGATTGACTAGGACAAAAGGTAGCCTGTGTGCCTTTTTCCATTCCAAATCTCATTTCCAATGTGTGTTTTAAAATTTAATGATAAATTGATTGAACTGTTGAGGCATAAAGTGGTTATAAATAAATAAAACATTCACATTTAAATTTGGTGAGGATTATTATATTTTTTAATGTATTTTAATCAAATTTAATAACTATTACTTAGACACACATCTGCAATTATATTGGTTGAATTTATATATATATAAATCTAGTGAAAAATAAAGTAATAAAAATAAATAAAATACTTTTTCAGAAATTAGTAGTAGACAGACTTCGCAGAGAATTAGAACTGTATCAGCAACGTTTAAAAGCAAGAAATAAACAAGTTAACATTGAAAATGACAACCGCTATGTAGCCCAGCAATTACGGGATCACCAGTTGCAATATCGTAACAGGAATAGGACTAACTCAGTCTCTTTACTAAAGCCATCTGTGCTCAATGAAATACATATCACTGGTGAGAATCATGCAGAAGATGGAAAAGAAAATAATATATCAGATTCTGATAGTGAATTGAAATTGTCAAATGAAAAGGAAAATTCAAACCACAGTGAGACTGATGAGAAGGAAAAGTATAGAAATTATTCACAATTGCCTAATACAGTGGATAGTAGAAATAATTTTGCAAATGCTCTAAATAAAGTTAAACAGTCTTTCATGTAAGTAAAAATACTTTGTAGGTAGTTACTTATATAATATTAAAATTAAAAAGAAAAAACACTTGGTTCTCCTAATAAATAGATTTTATTACCAAGAATTTAAAATATTGTTTCTTTAAATAATATTCTATATGGGGTAGACAGAAATCCAACTACCTATTACTTTATTTTATACTTTATGTAAATACCTAATTATAGTACATGAGTATATATAGTACATGATTTTAATTATTATCTGTGCATGTAGGTATGTGATTTTGTTTTTAATGTACATTAATTTTGCATACATATGACCTACATTAAAAATATGATTGGAACAGCATAATTTTGTTTTTATAAAATTAAAGAATACTAGATACTTAATTTGTTGTGTAACTATTGCCAATGATGTATGTTTATTTGTATTTCAGTGGGTCTAAAGTTCATGAAAATGAATGGCAAGAACAGAGGTCAGACTCTGATTCCTCACCAGGAGTGGAACTTTCACCAACACCATCACCACCACCATTACCTGAAGCTGGTGAACCTGTATCACAAGAGACTTTTATGAGGTATTTGTCAACCAATATTCTTTTCACTATAATTATCTTAATAACTATTTACTTTTCCTTTACTGTACTAAACAATTTAGACTAAACTAATTTAGCTATTTGAAAATTTTTAATATTTATTATTATTAACCATGTCTTGAAATCTTGTAAATAATATCCACTCTACTCAAATTAAGTACCAATGTATGTATAAAATACATATTAAATGAAGATGGAAGCTTTTCCATGTTTTTAAAAGTCAACCTGATGAATTTAATGTAATTTTTTAGCACTTTTTGTATTTACCCAAAATTTTTTCAGTCATTTCATTTATCAATAACTCTACAAAATAATTAAGATTTTTAATATATTAAAATCCAATTTTAGGGCTACATTTAACTTTTAATTGCTACCTCCCTTTATATATGAACATAACACGATGTAACATAACAATATACTGAATTTGAAATAACAAACAATTTTGCAATGGTCCTTACACTGTGCAAAGTACTTAAAAATGTCTTAATATTCTAGTTTGTCATGTGACTTTCTAAAAAGAAAAATGTCTTATTGTACTATATTGCTAATTTGTAAAAAAAAGGTCACTGAGGGGGCGTTTTTTGGATTTTTTTGTGACATTGTTCAATAATTTTAATGTACTATATCTATGTATGTGTATTCAAATACATTACATTAAAATATAATGTGTACTTATGAAACATTTAACAATGTTCATCATCCAATTCAACATGTGTTGTATTGATAAAAAATATTTCAGATTGATTGGTTTAGTCACTGCATCACAAAAAGAATTACTACTGAAGAAAAGAAATGAGCGACGTAAAAGATCCACCACAAGCACTAATAGAAATGATTTTTTATATGGCAACTTTGACATGATACCTGTAAGTATATTAGAAAAATTTTTTTATGGATGAAAATGAAATAACATTACTTGCGCTGTTACTTTTTTTAATGGATGATAATAGAATGGTAACCGTGCCTGTGATTTCGGTATATACTGGCAGGGTACTAGTAAGGGATGGTAAGTGAGGATGAAGCAGGTCAGTTAGCCCACTGTGATGAATCTAATAATAAATCAATCACTATGGTTTTCATGGGGAACCACGAGGAAGTCAATCTGACAAGGTATATTGTTAGCAATGGGCTACTAATCCTCATTATTAACAATTCCTTCTCCTCCTTGCGTTGTTAGTTAAACTAATGGGGTATCAATGAGGGATTATAGATGATAATGGAATGGTAACCCTGCCTTTGCTATGGGTATATGTTAGTGAGGCACTAATAAAAATGATATATAAGGAAGAAACAGGTCAGTTAATCTTGGTTAATTCTTTATAAATTTGTCACTACAGGCCGTTTCCAGGGAAACTGTGTGGAGGTCAACCTATTAGGGTATCTTGCTAGCAATTGGGCAGTTAGAACCCTAATGTAATGTAATGTAAATTGGACTCTATTTTCCGCGCTAAGCCTCTCATTTGGGTCATTGTGCTTATGAGTTATGGCTAGTACACCAGCACAGGGGGAAAGGATTGTTAGTAATGGGAAGGTTAGTCCCCATTGCTATCAATATATTCTATCAGGTCGACCTCCATGGGTTTCCAAAGGAACCCCTTCCAAAAGGTTTCCAAAGAATTCCCTTGGAAACTATCGTGACTTATTTATTATAGAATTCATCACAATGGGCTAACTGATCTGCCTTATCATCCTCACCTCTCACTAGTACCCCGTCAGTGTATACCGATAGCGCAAGCGCGGTTACCATGCCATGTACACCCATAAAAAAAGGTACAGTCACCCCAACTCCGTCCCGAAGCACATAAGTTTCTTGGGATCTTCACATGCCTCACGGAGCGACCACATTGCAAAAAACAAATATAAGCAAATAAATAAAATTTATTCTTTTTACAGAAACGGAAAAAATACAACCAATATCCATATCTACAAACACACAATGATCCTCCGCAGACTCGTTCTGCAAAATTGCGCAAACAGCAGGTGAATATTGCATAAATAATAATTTGTAAATACTACTGGACTTTATTAAATATAAAATGTATATAAAAGTAATTTTCTTTTATGTAAACTTATTACATTAATTTTTTTGCTAAATAGAATGATTGTTACATTGGCAGGGTCAAAACAAGTCATCCCGTGAGGGTTCTCCATCAGGTTCATCTACAGAAAATAAAGGCAAGTTGTTTATTTACTACTTATTACCTTTAAAATTTTAAGTTCATCAAAACTAGACAAAGTAATTTTTTTTTATTTATGCATTAACTTTTTGCCTGCTATTTCGTTTTTATGGATTTACAAGTTGGAAAATCAATTAAATATGCCACTTCTGTATGGTCTGTCAAGTTAAAACATAGACCAGTTATTAAGTTACACATTCAGAATACAACAAATGGCATTTAGTGCAGTGGTTTTTGCGTGATGCTAGATCAAACAGAAAATTTCTGTTTTGCCATCTATCAAGTTTATTAAGAAACCTCATTAATTTTTCTTATTTATCTCCCATGTCATTTACACATAGTATACATGTTGGTCGTGTAGTCCCTGCATAGAATAGACCATCCTTTCCCTTTCCATGGGTGTTATAAGAGCCGACTAAAGGAGCGCGAGGGATTGGCAGCAGCGTCTCTCTTAAAACATCTCTAAAACCTGCGGTTGCCAATCTGCCTGCCCAGCGTGGCAATTACTGGCGTGTGCAGTGGACAGTTAAAGGCTGAATTGATGATTATCTCCCATGTACAGACATCAATTGGTTACAATTTAATTAGTAAGATTAGTTGTAATTAAAATAATAAGCAAAGCTACTTCTCTTTTTTTAAAGTAGATAACAATTTCAATTCTGCTCTGAGATTTTGGAGTACACCTAGTAACCGATTGGCCATAACCCAGAATAAGCTACTGAATTTCATTCCAAGTCTTTTCAACATTTTAAGAGTAAGCATTAGACGTGCAATAGATAAACATCTGCATGAATAAGTTTTAGCTTAAAGGTACGGGTATGTCACTGTACTGGTTGTTTGATTAGCATTATTTTGTTTAATTCTACTATTAGTAAAGATAGCGGAATTGAATGAAATAATTTCAGTATACTACAACAAGTACAATTTTAGTACAAATACAATAACACGTAGTTCAGTAAAATATAAATATATCATTGTACAAGAAATTCAACGTATGAGGGATATCATTTTACATTGTATTCTGTGAAACACATTGTGCAATTTTTACCTGTAGGTGACGATTATCGCCTTCCAATGGGTCGTCGCTGACTACTACCCGTCAGTATTTTTGTTATTCCAAATTTTAAAAATGTGTTTTAGTATAGGTATTTTTGAATTTTATGTTTGATATTATGTCAGGTTGGAATAATGGTAAACCTTCGTGGGCTGCATCTCTGCCGGCAGGTCTTTCTGTAGAACCGGTATATCCGTCGACGAAAAAAGTTTGTAACAGCTGTGGAAGAAATGGTAAGAAAATGACAATGCACTTAAATTTTTATTATCAATTTATTTAAGTAGCGCATAATTTATCTTTATACCGAATTCCATTCAAATCAACTTGCGCTTAGTGAGTGAGTTATAATCATTTGAACATCATCATTAACATCATAACAGGAGAGTTATGTTGAGTTTCTCCTTTCTGATACTCTAGATTCACTAGAAAAGAAATAAATAATTTTGAACTTTTTCTATAATAAAATGTAAACAAACAGAAATCTTTGCAAGATTTTTTTAAATTAACAGTAGTCGTATTTGTGCCATAAATTAGAGATGTTCATTAATAACTTGAGGTGTTTTTTTTTTTTTACTTGGCTTCCTCTTTGCTTTTAAAATTTTTGAGGCACGTGATCTTGCTCCATCCTTTGAGATCTATCTGTGAGATTTTAAATAATTAAATTTAATATCATAATATAATTCCCTTAATTTGTTTAAAAAATAAAAAGTAAATATAATATTTTTATTGACCCTCTCACTATATGAGGACATTTGGTAAGATTTTGCTAGTCCCCTCTACATTTTATGTTCACGTAATTAACGGACCTCAACATGAATGTAAATAAAATGTGGCGTGTTGTCATGTACTATGATAAATTATAAAATCGTCCAGACGTTCCGTCGTTGCTGGTATGGTGTGCGACGTGCTGTGTGTGGCAACATACGGGCTGTGGGGACGGGCGGTGTGCTGCATGTGACGCTCTCTTACCCGACCCGACCGCCATGCCCGCTACGCTCTCCACCACACACCACCACTCTCACCACGCTCACCACCCTGACCATGACGCGCAACTTTATCGAGGTCAGTTTTCGTTACAGCATTGATTTTTTATCCTCTTGTATTTTGCTGCTAAGCAGCAGTTTCCGCGGTTGTGTTTTTTTTATAAGAGCCAAACGACCATACAGCTCAGCTGATGGTAAGTGACTACTGCCGCCCATACACACTTACAACATCAGAGAACTTGCAAGTGTTTTAATGGCTTTTTAGAAAGTAATGTAATCTTTTCTTAAAGGTTTTAATATCGTATTAATGTTTGAAGAGTGGAAAGAAAAATGTTACGACGCGTTACATGGGGGAGGGAGGGACTATAAAATCTTTAAAAATTGTGTCGATGCTTGAATATCCCCTTTGCCATTACTTGATTTGTAAATAAAACAAAATTTATATCATGTGGGAATGTACTTGACTATGAATGTGATTGTGAAAAAGACTCTATTTTCTGTGCTTAGCCTCTCATTTAGGCCATTGTGCGTATGAGTCGTGGCTAGTGTACTCGACTATAGAACTGCATCGCTTTAATTGGAATAAAATTTAAATTGCACATTTATTACTTTTATTTTCAGATAAAATAGCGGAAAGAAAACGGTTGCAAGAAAAAAATATAGAACTATGTGAAGAGTTACGAAAACTGGAAGCTAGAGCAGCTTCACTCAAGGAGAATCTAAATGAGCACAATGCTGAGAAGCGGCAACTGCTTGCCAACCAGATCAAGACGCAGAGAAACCTTCAGAAGCTTCTAGATTTCATCAGTCAGTTCAAGGAGACGTCCATTAGTATACGCTCCACGTCGGTTAGCGAATCTGGCAGCGAGATTAGTAAAAGCAATGAGGAGTAATGGTAGGAGGCATTAACATGTGAAATATTAAAATGTAAAAATACTATTGGGAGCTAGCTCCTTAAAAAAGGCATATATGTACTTTTTGATATTCTTTGTTCATTGCTGAATGCTCCAGTCCTGATCATGGGGTGAGCATCCGAGAATTCTGAGGCACAGCTAACCCGGTCCTCCCTTAAATATATCTATGGTTTACTGGTTCCTGAGGTGGTTTATACAAAATCTATTTTTTATTTCAGATAAAAGATCTGCCTTTGTCCAAAGTTTGATGGATATTGTTTTGTATATAGTGTGAATGTTGTAGATACAATACAACATAGTCATTTTGAGATTCTTTCGTCAGATTTCTTTTTTCATTATAAAGAATCTATGATTAAAAAAAATATTTATATGATATCAAAACGTTTTTTTTTTAATATAATATAATATATATGTATATTAAAAATATTAGAGTATACATATTAATATCACCTTTTACTATCTACTACTTTAAATTATTTGTATTCATAAATAAAAAAAAAAAACAATCGCCACATGAGTTAAATCTATTTCCCTCAACTTTAAGGAATAATTTCAACAAATGCTAATATATTTTTTCTAGCATAAAATTGTGTTTTAATTCACAATTAAATGAAAAAAGACTGACGAAAGTCTAAAATGAAGTAGTAATTTGATTGGTCTTGCAATTAGTGCGTGCGTAATCTGTTTATCTATACTTTATATTATAATTGCTAAACAATTTTATATCTTTATTGGATTTCGTTGTTTAAAAAATATACAGACGACGAAGTTACAATGTATAATAATAATAATAACTTTATTGTTAAACCATGATTGTAACAAACGTAGCACTGGAAATTATAGTAAAAGTCTGAATTCACTTGTACATTTGGATCAGCTTATACATTTGTCTGAACTAGTTTTAATAAACCTTGTTAATAATATATGTTTATTTTGTGTATTATCAAGTATAGAAAACAGATTATGGACATAAATGATGTTTTAAAATGAATTGTTTTCAAAGTTCTGATGTTATATTTTAAGTTTTTATTTATTACGAAAATATCAAATTCTATTACTTTTAAAGAGTACAAATAATTTTATTATATTGATTGTGTATATTTGTTCAAGCAATTAATTTCATCAATTTTTTTTATTAATTTAATCAGGGTGTTTAGTACCATTATGATATTTTAAGAACTTAATTGCATTAACTGTGTAATTTAATTGTTAAATGTAAACAGGGAAGATAACTATTAACAAAATTTTAATATTTATATTTTTTATCTGGTTAATTGAACTGTTTAATCAAACAATGGGTTCGATTCTGAGATATTCTATTAACCTATCACTGAAATTAAAACTTCAATTTGATATCACAACGACATTTTTAATGGATGGGCCAATATGAACTACGTTTTTGGTAGATTCAAATCAAATTTAAATTATTATAAATTAAGTTTATGACGGTTCAAATAACTGTAATTTAGTGAAATTACCAAAGTAAAATGTAAGGTTAAGAGATAGGTCCAAAGAAAGTCACAGAGTCGAACCCAATATTAATAATTTTATTGTTGTAACATTAATTATATTGATCAAAAGAATAGCCAAAAGAAAAAGTGTTCAGTATTACTTCTAAATTAAATGTAAGTATTTTGTAGATTAGCAGTTAGTGTATATTTCAAAATAGTTTTTGTTTTATAAAAAATGTTTAATGAATTAATTGTTCTCTGTGATATGATTCAGTTATTCTTGATCGTTAATAAAGGTTCTTGTAAATAAAACTAGGGTAGGGTTGTAAATAAATAGATTCATAAATTGGTAATTCGCTTTTATTTCATTGAAAATAAATGTATTTGAAACTGTTCTAGCCACAATAAAATAAAACTAATGCCTATAAGTACATTGAATAGCATTATATTTTTTTGTGATGTACAAATTTATGCTAAGTCTAATATTTTCTTTCGATACGTCTTTTTTCAACTGCTTAATGCTTCATTCCAATAAGTGGCGTTCGTATTTCGACAAGTTAGTATACCTTTGCATTTCAACAGTACCCTTTTTATCAATAGTTACAACTCCCGAGAAATATGACATGTTAAAATCATTGTTTTCCACATACACGTTGACTTTAGAAGGGCAACCGTTCCAAAGCGTTCAATAATCCTCGTTTAAAGATGAGGACACTATGCTATTGATAAAGTAGGCGACCAACCTTTTTTCACTTGTAAAAGGATATCTGTACACCTAATTTTAACAGTCAATTCATGGATTCTTTTTTCACTCATTTCGCACGTCGGTTTCACTAAAGACTAAGGGTATTGTTTTATTCGAGTGTCTGCCTTTCATTGGTACATAACATTTGCAGAGATTCAGAATATTTTCCATTCCATACAATGCTTGGGCTCTAAGGAAGTTTATTGTGGTAACCCCAAAATAAGTTTTTTGTGTCGAAATATCTACCCCCTATTCCTCATTATTTCGGAAACCATCGGTACATGAGTATCGGATGCAGTTATGCAACTCTGGATGTGATCATTTTAATAAATTCGGTGTTCGTTTCTAATCAGGAGCTTTTAGATAAACCTGGTCTCTGGGTTATACCGCCAGTCGCTATCACAATATTAGAGTTTTTGAAAGGTCTGTCCAAAGTTTCTTTTCCTGTAAAGCCTTTGAGAGATGATGATGAGACAAAATATTACTCCAGCTGTTTCGTCTAGTACATAGTGGACAGTTAGTTTTCTAATTGAAGGTTGAACTCTTAACATCAAACATATCGTTTGTCCGATTTCAGATCCTCCACCGACCACAGTCACATAGTTCCAGATATAATTAGCGCCACTTGATTCTCGTATATTTGAATATATTTTAATGAGTTTAATGACAACATTAATTAATGGGTTAAATTTAGGACATACATTTAGGATAGTATTTGCGGTCTTACCATTTTATACAACACGGGGCAAACGAGCATGCGGCTCACCTGATGGTAAGTGACTACCGCTGCCCATGATCATTCACAACACCAACGGCATTGCAGGTGCTGCCGGCCTTTTAAAAAGGAATATGAGTCAGGAACTCTTATGAACTCGTGGATATTAATTTATAGTAGATATAAATAAATTTGGTTATAAATCTTAGATTATAAAGTATATAAGTATGTTATACTAAGTCTTTGTTATAAATGGATAACAGCCATTAATTACTTATACTTACACAGTCACGTGAAACGTTATCAACATAATGTAGGGATTTGGTAGATTTGTTTAAAATTCTGTACAATTATTTAACTATTTTAATGACTATGCTATGATTCGCAAAAACATACGTGATTTTTCTTTATTAATAAAAAAAAAAACCCGAATAATGTGAACACGCAATCGTAAATTTCATTTCATAATTCACAAGAGAAATATTCATGTAACTATAGTAGGAGCTCTGAGTGATGTAGGATCAAATTTGGCTCTACTGTTGAAGCAGAACTGTAAAATTACAAAGCTCCATTTGTATGATGATGATGTAAAAGTTAGAGGAATTGGTTTGGAATTAGCCCATATTCCAGGAGGACCAATGATTTCTGCCTATGCCAGTTATATTATTTTACCTGATGCTATTCATTTAGTCAATCTAATACTGATGGTTTCAAGGGTATCACGCAGACCAGGGTGTTACTAGAGATCAAATGCTAGTGCTTAAAATGCCAGCTATATTAAAACTTTGTAGAGCAGTTGCAAATCGAAATCTAAATGTATTTTTAGCTATAGCTATTTGGATCAATCTTATAAATTCTGTTATACCTATTGCCAGCACACTTTTATATAATTATTATTGATATATTATGTTTAAAATTATGATTATTACACATATAGATACTACCAGAAGCAGAGCGTTTGCTGCAAATGATCTTCTAGTAAACCTGCGGCACTTACAAATACCTGTTATTGGTGGCCATTCTGAAGAGACGATAGTGCCACTATTTTTAAATTTAACGTCCTGTCATTACTGCGTTGATCAATGTTAAGCAAATATGTGTTTTTTTTATGGGTGATAATGGAATGGTAACCCCACCCGAGCTATCGGTATACACCGACGGGGCACCAGTGAAGGATGATAGGTGAGGATGAAGCAGGTCAGTTAGCCCATCGTGATGAATTCAACAAGAATTGTTCACGATGGTTTCCAGAGGGAACCACGTGGAGGTCGACCTAATCGGGCATATTGCTAGCAATGGGGCTGTCAAACTCCATTGCTAACAATCCCTTTTCCCTCCTAAACAAATATGTTCACGAGACTTCTGAGACAAGCTGGTATAGATGTAGTTAATTACGGACGTGGCTCACCAGTTGTAAGTTTAGTTTGGTTTATTAATAAATTTATAATTAACATATTGAATGCAATAAATGGTGATGAAACGATTGTAATCTGTTAGAGTGTTAATCCACTCGTACCAATTTTGGTAAGAGATACTTTTTTTGTACCTACTGTTGTTGGTCCCTATAGCATAACTCGAACATTGCGATTTCCCAATAAGCGATTATGAATCTTTTATACCTATTGAATTCTTCAGTTGCTTCACTCAATCATGGTATTGAATCAGGCGAAAATTATGCTAAAATAATGCAAAACGTATGAAAAAGTGATTTTGTTTATTTTTATTTTTTGTTATGATGTAATTTATATTTTACAGAGCTTTAATAAATGTGGTACGTATATTATTTTTTAAATATTTTGATAAAATTCCTATTTTTTTATTAAATAGGTTTAGATTGTATACACATCACAAGCAACATGTTGATTTATAAAGTGTAATATGTTGTTAATACTGCAGTAACAATCATATGCTTTTGTTAGCTTTTGCACACGAGAGAGTAGTACCTACTCGTTGACAGTCCTTGGTAGTCTTTTAAATTATTACTTCAACATCGAAATTAACTACGAAGATTATGTCAATGTTGTAGCTCTTATATTGTTATTATTAAAGTAAAATGCAATAGTAGTTGATATATTTAGTTTATTCTTAACGTGCTTGTTTACACTTAGGTACTCTACTAACTCGTATTTGAGATTTCAGTCTTATCACAGAGTTACTTCGTTTTTAAAAATTCATCATGTATTTCTTCTAATTATCTCATTATTTTTCTACTTTATTGAAATATTTTTTAATTTTTTAATACATTTAGTCTCTAAAAACTTTTATAATACCCATAAACTGATATCTTAGCTCAATAGCGTACTTTTTTATACTCATCGCAGTTCCCACCACATTAAAATGTCTCTATTGAACATTTCAAACAATGGGAAATTGGACAGAATGGTAACATCGTAATGGAAGCTGACGTGAGCTATAATAGTCCAATATCGAAGGAATGGCTTGGTGCGGGCGCAAAGCGGCCATCCGAGCCGCATCTAATTCCGTACGCTGTTACCTACTGTCTTGAGACGGTCACTGCAAAATTTTATGCGGTAGCTTTATAATGGATAGTGTCAAGGATCTGCATGTTTGGAGTTTAGAATATTCATATTATATAACTTGTTAAAAATAAAAACTACATGAAAATAAGACCTATAAATATAAATATGAAATATATATAATTGTTTAAAATGTCGGAAGAAATCAAGTTTACTAAAATCTTTCATCGAAAATGCTGCAATATAACAAAATAATGTACCTACCTACAAAAAAGTTAGCGTTGACATTATATATTTACACAGATATAAACTTCCTGTAACTATTTAATAATGTTTAAAAAAATTATACAAATTATTCGGAGTTTGATAAATAGAAGGATACGATAGTAATACTCGTATTTTGAGTAATATTATAAATCAACCACACTGACACCATATTGTTTATACATTGTACCCGTACGAAGGCAAGGCGGATCGTTAGTATCCTAGAAAAATATAATAATATATTTTTATTTCATGAGGACAAAACCGCAAGTTAAACATGCCTTGCCCATAAAATATATAGAACATATTTGGTTATTAAAAAAAATAGGACATCCTACCACGTCGTGAATATAATTTTATCTTAACTATAATTAAATAATACTAATAGGTAATCACGACATAACATCCCATAAAATAGTTCATTACAATCGCAAATAAGGATAACGACAGGGTTAACTTTAAGATAATCGCTATGTGCTAGGTAGTATGGGCTGTGGTGTCGTTCCGTCGACATTAATGTCCCAGTTTCGGGTCTTGACGACCCTAGCTTGATGGGTGTTAACATGGATAACTTCGAGGGTTAAGGATCGAAGGACCACTGATTACGCCAGTGGGACCATTTATTACAGTGAAAACTGTTTGTGATTGTCTGTGATAGCGCTGCTTATAACTTATATGTTTGTTTTGTATTCATACGCGATTTTACTAAAAATTGTGTTAAGTGTTATATTTAGGTAATCGATAATCGTCGTGTAAAATACTGAAAAAAATCTGATGAAGTTACGAGTAATAACTTATTTTTTGGATATACATAGCTAAATTTTATTTATTTTGAATTTTTAGTTTTATGAACTATAATATTAAAATTATATTTCGTGATATGATGTAACTCTTCTCAGATTTTCCAAATTTAGGTAGACAATTTAGGTTAAAATTTTTGTTATCTAAAGTGCTGATGCAAACTAGTACTTAGTATACCTAATAATTACAGTCAATAGCATTATATAAAAATACTGAAAAAAGTTAAAGCCTTTTCAGACTTTGTCGGAAAATTTGAACTAAGTCGATCGTGACGCTTGAGGTTCCCAAGGGTGTCATCTGTCGGTGTCGCCGTCGAACGTCTTTGTTCGTTTTTTTATATACATAAAAGTC